ACACCAGTTACATCTGGGACAGGACTAAAGGGGGCACCATCACCTGGGTGCTGTAGACCCTCGCAGGTCCCAGTGCTCCACAGCAAGCCCCCATCTGGCAGGGCTGAACTCCTGAAACAACTCTGCCGGGGCCCTGTGGCTGCAGTGGCCTGATAATGACACAGCATCTGTGGTCACAGCCATATCTCTCCTGCTGTTCCATAAGGGGCTTTTTTTTCTGAAAATTTTCTTTCTTTCTTTTTTTTTTTTTTTTTTTTCTGAGACAGGGTCTCATTATGTAGTTCAGGCTGGCCTTGAACTTTGTACCCCAGGCTGCCCTCAGACTTGTGGCTATCCTCCTCCTGCCTCAGCCTCCTGAGTGCCAGGATTATAGGCATGCATCACCAAACCTGATAAAATTCTTATTTTAAAAGTAGTTCCACCCTCCCATAAAAAGAAAAATACAAATGTAAAACAAGTTTCCATCTGTGCTGGGAAGAGGAAACTGTCAGGGGTAGGACACTTGCTGCAAGCAGGAGCCTGGCCCACTGTGCTTCCGGACAGAACTGGTCCCCGGGGCTGTGCCTCGGGGTGGTCATGGCACCCAGGATGGCATCACACACCAGGCCCACCAGTGAGGAAGTGGCACAGGCGCTTTGAAATCGTGCATCGCGGCTAAAATTACCTCACTAATCACAGCATCTATAAATCATCTTAGGCAGAGGGAGGCATGGGCACTTCCCAGGCCTGGACTCTAGGGAACAAAGAGGGACCCAAAAATGACCGGCCCACCTTCAAATCCCCCATGCTCACCCTACTTGCCTCACAGCCCATTCACGCTGGGAAGACAAGGTCTCCTTACTTTTCCCAGACTTACGTCCAAGCCACAGTAAGCGAGGTATTCCACATTGTCACGGGACTCAAGGATGAGTTTTGGGGTGCTCCACGTCCCTTCCAAGAGTAAGAGCTCCCAACAGCAAAAGGACCCGGTCACCACCTCCACATTTTACAGAACTTTCAAGGGCTGGGCACCAGCTGCCTGGAAGGTCTGCGTTTATTTTTCAAAAGTTTCAAGGTCTTTTCACAAACCAATCCAAGTGCTCCTCTTCACTCTAAACCCCACTGTCCTGAAGCTTTGGGGAAGACCCTGGGCTCTTTTGCCTGCCTCAGCACATGGTTGTGTCTCCAGGCCAGACAGAGTGTGTTCTATGGTCTTCCCCTAAGCTCCTGAACCAACAATTACAAGCAAGGGGCATTTCCTTAATTCCTAATTCTAATCGATTTAGGCAGGGCATTATCCAGCCTCTTTCAAAGCCCCGATAAGGAACCTGTCAGACACTCAGCTGGATTCCTTACATTATCTACAGTCCTCGGGCCCTGCCCCCTGCTTCGTCTTCTTTGCAGGCGAGGAAGGATCGCGACAGACACACAGGGCTTAACCTGCCACGGCTCCCGGGACAGGATGTGGCCCCATCTGAACAGGAGCCCCGCCGGCCCTGTCCCCACTCCATCTTCAGAGAGGAGGAACTCTGCTTACACACACCTTGTGTGCAATGGACAAAGATGAGTAGATTTGGGGACCCGAGGTACAGAACTTGGAGTCACAGCAAGATCAGCCCAGGGCCTGAAATGTTTTTCCGGGAGTCAGTGTAATTCTCATGCGAATTACAAACCAAACTGCCCATCATGCCACCTCTGTCCCTCGGGCCCCCAGCTGCCATCACATGCAGTAACGACCAAAGCATCTTCCTACTTCCTTCACACACACACACACACACGCGCGCGCGCACGCACACACACGCACACACGCAGTTAAAGTGTCAACAAACTATGAAAGAAAAAAAAAAAGTTTTAAAGTTAAAATGTCAAAAAAACACAAGTTGGCCAAGGAATTGTAACCAAACTATACTCTCCATGAACAAAAATCTTTCCCCCAACCCATGCCCACCAGCTGCCACGAACTGCGAGACGCCCTCCTGCAGGGAGACACTGGGGATCCAGGAGCCTCGATTCTTCCCCCTCACCCCACACCTTGCTCTCCCAGGTGACCCCAGCCATCACCCCAACCTCACACCTCCCTGGGGCTACGTGGGAAGCCTGCAGAGGTCTGGAGGGTTCACGCCTGGGTCGCTATTTATCCTCCAATTCCCACCTGTAACATGGGTTGTGCCTCCTGGCCCTGAAGGTAGAACTTGCCAGCCCAGCGTGTGTGGGGGGCTTACAGTCAGGACGCCTGCTCCTACACAGTCTGTACGGCATCTGTAGTAGATTAATTCCCGTCCCCAGTCGTTTGCTGGTGGTTGAGCTTGTGTACAGGAATCTGTCATCACATAACGTAGGCTGAGGCAGGAGGGCCAAGCGTCCTGCAGATCTCAGTTCCCATTCTGGCCCTCTGTGTCTGTTTCCTCAACTATGAAATGGGAACAGCGCCTTCAGGACAGGGGCTGAGGTCTCACAAGCTGGAAACCACTCAGGCTGTCTCCTAGTCTACACCTTGCTACACTTACGAGCCACTCTCCAAAAGCCTGATCCAAACTCCTGCTGGAGAAAATTACAAGGCCCGGTACCTCTGCTGCCTGACCCCATCTGGTCCTATGCGACACCCACAGAGGGGCTAAGACAGAGGTCTGCGCCCCACAGCTGCCTAGGCCTTGCAGAAGGCGGCAGGAGAACTATAATTAGACGACTGTGCTGACATTTCCCTCTTCGCTCCAGACGTTTATTATGCTTATTTCCTGTGAGCTGGGCCAGTCCTGGAGCACAATGGAGGAGACTCCGGGCATGGGGACTTGAACGCTGAGCTCTCACCATCCTTCCCTGCTCACCTCACTCAAGTTCCCTCTCCCTAATCTTGCCAAGGCCACCTTTGCAGACCAGATAAAGGCAAGTTTTTATTTTATTTTACTTTAGTACTAAGGATTGAACCCAGGGGCTTCATGCTGAGCCACATCCCTAACCCGCTTTTTATTTATTTTGAGATAGGGTCTCGTTGGCTCCAAATTCCCCAGGCTGGGCCTGAGCTTGCAATCCTCCTGCCTCAGCTTCCCCATGCTGGGATTACAGGCCTGCACCACCGAGCCTACTCAGATTTGCTTTACAAGGAGAGTGGCCTTTAGTGTGAGTCCAAGGGCGAGTCGCACCCCAGGAGACACACAGGAGTTTTTAAACAGGCAGGGAGAATGAGACAGCGGTGCCTTGTGTTAGAACATTCCAGATGACCCAACGGCTGTCCCCTCTCCTGTGGGACAGAAGACACCAGCCAGGAACATCAGCCATTAATGGTGGGGGTGTTGGCGGGCACCGATCTCACCTGGAAGTCAGGTACCTAAGCAGGACAAGTAGTAATTCACCTGAAATTAATGTAGCAGCACCTTTGGATATTTCTCTCAGGAACTGCTATTAGTGCAAACTTTCCCAACCACTACACAAGACTCCCTGGACCAAGACCTCATCCCCTTTATTTCTTATGGGCTGCGTATTGCTAAAGCATCTAACATTTCCAAGCCTTAAATTTCCTAATATGTAAAGTGGTGACTGTGTTCCTCATTTCAGAGTTCTTAAAAGAAAAAATGAGGTCATGTATATCGATCTGCAAGAATTCGTTCTGACATGACATAAACCATGACATTAAAAAAAAAAAAATTAAGAATCCTGGCTTTAGGGTTCCTGGATGCTACGTGCCACTCTAAGTAAGTTAGAGCCTTAAGTTCCACACTGCCCTAGAAGCAGGTTCTATTACCAGGCCCATTTCACAGTTGTGGAAAGCAAGGGTCAGAGAGGTCAGAGGTCAAGCAATTTGCCCAAGGTCACAGACTGATGGCACAAAATGGGGTGAAATGGGAAAAAGCCATCTTGCACCTTGAAGCCACCTCACCTCTAAATCTCTCACCCAGCCCTTCAGTCTTGGGACTCTTCCTTATGAAAAAGGCAGGCCTGGGAGTCATCCCATAATTCCCATGTGTCATTTTACCTGCCTGGGGGTCACCTCTACCTGGCAAACCTAAAACCAGGGTGGGGTGGGGGAGAGGAAGCAACCTTCAAAAATAAGGGCCTCCTTGGAAAACAAGGGCTTCTTTACCTGTGCTGTCCCATACCCTGCACATCCTCTCCTTTCTCTGGGGTGATACTGCTCCAAAAGCAGCCCAGCGGAAGGAGCTTCGGGTTCCTTGGCAAGCTCCCCTAGCAGACTCACCAGAGCCGGTGCCCAGAGCACAAAGAAATGAAGTCTGACATATTAGAAGCTAGCCCTGCTGCTTTGGCCGTCCCTGTGCAGCCTGGTGTGGCCCAGTGGTCTTGTCTACAACGCTGGCCCTGCTGAGAGTTCCCAGGCAGCTAGCTCAGTCCTCTGGCTCTGGCCACGCATGAGGAAGACAGTCCCTGGAGAAGGAGGGGTGGGCACTGCCACCTCAAGCGGCCTCCCAGGCAGTGCCGCTCTTACACAAGACTGACCAAGAGCTGTATGAGGCCTTGCTCAGCCTCCACAGTGCCAGACACCAGACACACAGGGATCCAGCAGATCCCAAGTCCCTGCAGCAGCGGGCTCTGGGGAAACAGTTCTAGTTACCCTTCTTTGGAGTGCGGACCAGGACTGCTGGGGAAAAGCTCTTGCCCTAGGAAGCAGGAGGCAGCTAGGGCAGCTGTGAAAAGAGAAACACTGAGGAAACAGCACCCAGGACCCACTGTCTGATTGTGTCCACAGCCTGGCCACTTTAGGTCTGCAGACTCACAGGAGCAGGACCGGTGAGTTGCTCTGGAGACGCCCTGGGGGTCCTCTGGCCCTGGGGAGAAAGACCCCCATCTTCTCTCAAGCGCAACTCTTCAGCCCTTCCTGGAGAGCTGAACCAGGCCACCCACCCCTCTGGGAGGGTTCAGTGGTTTCTTTGCTCTTGCTTTTCTAAGGAGTCAAAGTTGTTCACTCCCTTCTCCACTCTTGAAATTCAACAGGTCTTTGGTGGGGGCTTCACCTGCTGGAGGTGGTGCTGGGGTACAAATACAGAAAGTGGCCCCGTCTACATCGCCAAGACTTTATTGTACTGTCACCGTTAACTTAACTTTAAATACTACGGTGGGAAGCGAGGCCTCGGCCCGGGCAACCCCGGCTCTGTACACTATTTACAGTTCCCGTTCCTTTCTCGACCCCTCCCGCAAGGCAGCGCATGTGCAAGAAAGTAGCATCGTTTGTCTGTGCAAGTCCTTGAGCTGGCCAAGCGCCGCGGCCCCGGGGCCGTCAGCTGTCCGAGTCCAAATCGCTTTTACCTTCCTCTTCCCTCTTCTCGGGCGACGTCTTGGAGGACGAGGATGAGGTCTTGTTCCACTTCTCCGTGTTTTCTGACTCCTCAGATGAAGACCGCTTCTGCCTCCTCCATTTGGCCCGGCGGTTTTTAAACCAGACCTGTTGAGAATGGGAGCACAAAACACAGTGATGCTCGAAGGGCCGCTTCTCCCAGCGCCCAGACACCGGGTCGCTCCTCAAGGCCGCTGGGCAAGAAGGAATCGGCACCGCGCGCCGGCACGAACGCCAACAAAAGAGGGGAGCCACCCGCTCCCATTTCCGCCTCTCCACTCCACTTCCTGGGCCTAAAGCACCCTCCCGCAGCCTCCAGGCCGCCACCGCGAGGTTTCTCTAAGCTGCAAGGAGCCCCGGGAAGGCTGGGCAGACCGAGCTGGGGCCCGATCGCGCCTCGGGCAGCCCGTGGCGCCTACCTCCACTTTCTCCTCGCGGAGGTGCACCTTTCGGGCCAGCTGCTCGCGCGTGCCCACGTCCGGGTACTTGGTCTCCTGGAAGAGGTTCTCCAGCGCTTCAAGCTGCTCGTCGGTGAAGATGGTTCGGTGCCGCCGCTTCCTCCGACAGTGCAGCTGGTTAAGGAGCTGCAGCTCGGTGCGCGACAGCGTGCCCACGTTCATGTAGGGCAGCATCTGGTGCGGCACCGGGGACACCAGCACAGAGCCGGGGCCCTCGTAGCCTGCGACGCAATGGGGCGCGCGGTCAGCCACCGTGTCCCTGTCTCGGCACGCCCGCAAGCCCGAGACCATCTCCCACTTCAGAAACCATCCGCAAGGGTGCTGGGAACCAGGGGCCACAAGAATCAGGGGCGCGGGGAGATGGAGAGCGCTAGAGAGCTCAAGCAACCTCGTCGCCCAGCGAAGGCCCCGAGTTACGGCCCGGGCGCGGGTGGAATCGCACCCCGGACTCTGTGCGGCTTCGTTTTCGCTAACTCTCGCTTACAATTGCCGCAAGACGCCCGCAAACTCCACTGCCCGGTCGGCCATTAAAAACAAACAAACAAACAAACAAACAAAACGGACCGGGGGACAGCAGTGGAGGGAGCTCTCAATGCGGGACCAGTCCGCGCAAGGTGGACAAAGCCTCGCCAGCCGGCCCCCTCCCCAGTCCCGGCCGAGCCCGCGCGGCCCTACCTGGGGGCGTCGGG